CCGATCAGACTTGACGGCCCAGTGAAAACAGGCCAAGGTTGTGCGAAAGCCGACCGACTGACTGACAGGCCCAGTGAAAACAGGCCCTTGGTCGTGCGAAAGCCGATCAGACTTGACGGCCCAGTGAAAACAGGCCAAGGTTGTGCGAAAGCCGACCGACTGACTGACAGGCCCAGTAAAAACAGGCCCTTGGTCGTGCGAAAGCCGATCAGACTTGACGGCCCAGTGAAAACAGGCCAAGGTTGTGCGAAAGCCGACCGACTGACAGACAGGCCCAGTGAAAACAGGCCCTTGGTCGTGCGAAAGCCGATCAGACTTGACGGCCCAGTGAAAACAGGCCAGGGTTGTGCGAAAGCCGACCGACTGACAGACAGGCCCAGTGAAAACAGGCCTTGGGTTCTGTGAAAACGAATCCGCCTCGTTGTTTTGTTTCTTGTGCTATTTGTGGACCTAGGGTTCTTTGCTGGATTCTATACTCATTGGTATAGTTTCACACGCAGCTTGGAATTTCCATAGGCTCCGATTTTCGTGATTCATTTTCTTTTATTTATTGGAGTTGTATCGACATCACCATCGGATACACACGTCGAAGTTGTACGATTAAAACGCCAAGAAACATATTCCAAGTTGAAGACCCAACAGGAAGAGTTCTAATTCCTGTATTCCAGTTTGTTCATTGACATTTACATTATTATAGAGTTCATTAGTTCAATTCCTTTTATTTACTTCCGTCGATTAATAAAATTGTTATCGAATATTTTTACGCGTTCGTGTGTTACTCAGTAAAATCATATAATTCGAAAAAGCCCAGTGCCACACAGGACTGGTCGAACTCACGATAAAAATATACACAAAAAAATTATTGTCGGACCATACAAAAATTCCCTGAGAAAGATAGAGGAGGAGATTGCTTCCTCTTATCATTTTAATTTATTATTATTTAAAATCTCCGACAATTGGCGCCCAACGTGGGGCCTTGTCACCCTTTTAAAAATCCTCCTCCTCCTCATTAATTTATTATTTATTATTTTAAAATTTCCGACAATTGGCGCCCAACGTGGGGCCTTGTCACCCTTTTAAAAATCCTCCTCCTCCTTATCATTTTATTATTTATTATTTTAAAATTTCCGACAATATATATATCTCACTTCCAACCCGGCGCTTAACCAACAACGAAAACAAAGAAGTAATAAAAACTAGCATCGTAAATAGTGACAAAGAAGAATATGATGCTATCGAAGAAGATGACCAGCCAATAAAGAAACCTGACACCTAATTCATTTCAATTTTACAACACCAAAGTTAATTTTTACAACGTCAAAGTTCATCTTGACCAAGTCAATATTTCCCTATATATACAGCAAAAAGCACTGATGATGATTCATTCAGAATCGAAATATGGCCTTATTTGCAGCATGAATTCGGAAAATAAGTTTATTTTGAATTTTAATAAACTAAACGTTCACCAAAAAACTTTAGTGAGAAAAATTGAAAAAACGAACCACAAACATATTAACGCCAAACATTCGGTAGAATTTATAGAATATTGTAAAAATTATGGTCTATTACCAACATATATATATATATATATATATATATATATATATATATATATATATATATATATATATATATATTAAATATATATATATTAAATATACACAGCTAACTGCACTCTATAGCGAAGCACTAACAAGACAGTGTTTTAGTACCACTCTTGTTCCCTATTCACATAAACAATGTGTGATAATATTTTGTTATTTGCAGATGACACCAAACACTTTAAAACGATTCAATATAAGTGGAAAATCAACAAATTTATGTAATTTGTTCAAAAATTGTGGATTAAATACAAAACGGTTCCAAGTAAAATTGAGACTCAAAAACATTACTCGGCGGCGTGATGGTTTAATGGTTAAGGTCGCCTGGTGCTGTTTCGCAGTAACCGGGTTCGAATAAGACAAAAAGATCCCCGCCTATCACATGCTTCGTGTGTGATGCGTCGTTTAGCACGTATTCATTTACGATGTTTGTGCGCTTTGTTGAATCCTCTAAACTTTGGAAGAGTGTAATTGACCTTTAACCTTTTTTTAACCTTTTTTCTCATCGCTTGGTGGAACAGTAGTGAAGCACTCAAGTAAGACAACTGTAGACCATTATGGAGTCAAAGTTGATTTTCGAGGAGCATGACTCTCAAGATTGGGAAAATTAAATTGGTCCATAAAAAAATTGTTAAAGTACACTTTTTGGCTTTTTGCTTCTATATCTTTTGTAAGATATGTTTGGGATGAATCTGGCTAGTTGTGCATAGATGAGGAGGAAAAAGCTCAGGTGTGGAAAGCTCATATGGAAAGGTTGATGAATGAAGAGAATGAATGGGATGGAGATGTGGAATGGAAGGTGAACGATGAAGGAAGTAGAGAAAGCAGTTAGAGAAACGAAACTAGGTAAAGCGACAGGGGTTTCGGAAATGGCGGCGGAACATATAAAGGCGAGTGGGATGATAGGAATTGAAGTTATGATGAAAATTGTGGGGTATTGTGTGAAAAGAAATGGTCAGTGAAGATGAAAGGGAGGGTATATGTGTGAGAGCAGCGATAATATATGGTGGTGAAACTTGGGTGTTGACGAGAGAGGAGGAAAGTGTACTGCAGAGGACTGAAAGAGCTATGGTGAGAATGATGTGTGGGGTTAAAGTGAAGGATAGAAGGAGTAGTACAGAGCTGATGTCGATGATGGGACTGAATGAGGACATTGTGACATTGACAAGGAGATCGAGATTGCGGTGGTATGGACATGTGTTGAGAAGGGATGAAAGGGTTGGGACTAGGCGAGCGTTGGAGTTTGAGGTTGAAGGAGTGATAGAAAGGGGTCGTCCACGATTGGGATGGAGAGCAGGTGGAAAAGGAAAGAGTGAAAGCGGGGTTGCGTGATACTGAGACGAGTGACAGATGTGAATGGCGTCGAGGGGTATTTCGGTTTCATCATAGGTAGCCAAACGGCAACCCCGATCTCAGGGAAAATTTCGTCTAAATGTGTGTTGCTGTTGTTGTTATCTTTTGTAAGATCAGTATTGAAACATGAGATTTCAAAACACGGGAAGGCTGAAACAATCTTCATCAAAGCCAACAACTAAAAGTTAATTTAACCTAAATTGTCTCCATTAAGTGTATAGAAACAAGTGTTGTCGATGAAGTTGACACAACAACCAATGACATCACCGGTACTGAACGTAGGACCATAAGGCTGACCCTGACCAGATGAACAAAACGAATTACCATCATCACCATGGTATCCAAACGAATTTTTATCCCAACCTGATTGATAAGATTTAATTTATGAACAATACAAAAAAAAACAAAAAAACTGTACAATTTTTATTGTGCAGTTGAAGTGATGAAAATGAAATGAAATATTTATATCAACCAAGGAGTAAAAATAATACCTACCAGCCATTCAACTCTACCAGTCTACCAGTCTACCAATCAATCAATCAATCAATCAATCAATCAATCAATCAATCAATCAATCAATCAATCAATCAATCAATCAATCAATCAATCAATCAATCAATCAATCAATCAATCAATCAATCAATCAATCAATCAATCAATCAATCAATCAATCAATCAATCAATCAATCAATCAATCAATCAATCAATCAATCAATCAATCAATCAATCAATCAAACAATCAGCACAATAATAAAATAGCAACCAGCCAATCTGTCAGTAGCTACATTTAAAAACAAACCAGGAAGCCTGTTTTCCATTTTTTGAACAGCAGTCACACCAACGCCCATGTATCTGTCAATATGTTCAAATTTATTTCATTTCTATTTCATACACTGATCATAATACAAAATTAAGCAAAGAGCAACAGATGATGTTAAAAAAAGCAAAATAATTTTAAGCTTTCAAAAATAATGCAATAACATTAAAAAGGAAAAGAATTATGTTAGATGATATACCATCCATCTATGAGTTACAACACAAAGAATGTAACAGAACACGTTACATGGTTTAACATACCATCTAAATATAAGTAACAACATGAAGCAAAAATTATAAGATAACATAACATAACAAGATAACCTAACATACACCAATAAATGAGTAACAATTTGACTAACAGAAAATGCACCAATGTTAATACTGGTGTGAAAGCATGAACGACCGAAGACAGCTTATATTGAAAGCTTCTTAGCTGGGCCTAAACAATACAATATAATAGAATGCAAAGCTGTATATTACGCATACCTGAAGAAGAAAACATCTATATTAATAAAAAAAAATCATGACAGAAACATCACACATTATAGACAATTTGTTTTTCAAACCAATCAACAAATTTAAATGAGTTGCATACATTGTATAAAGTGGAAAATAAATGTATTAGTAGAACTTAATTCATGCATGATAATACGAAAATCATAAAAAAACAATGTCATCGTTTGTATTTATAAAAAATATTAAAAACAAAACTATATCTGGGAACAAAGAGAAGTGCATCTTCGTATATTTGAGCAAGCAGTGCAAAACTATGGTGAAACAACAAACAACAAATTAATTAATGAATCACTGATCAACATGACAACAAAATAATTAGGCACACCAGCAAGTAAACCTCAATATAATTATATTAATGCACTATGATATATCATGTTTCATGTCAAGATGTCAAGAAAAATTAAAGTAAACCAACAAATGTAAAATCTGTCCTGAGAAGGATGGTAACATAACACAATAACTTACAATATGGAGTAAATGAATTAATATAGAAAGAGTTTGAACTTACGAAAATAAACACCTCAAATTTATAAATAGACTGGCTAACAAAATTCTTCAAGAAAACGAAGGCAATGGAAGTAGTTATTAATCATGTTACCATTTAGGTAAAAATTAGAATTCAGATTTGGGTTCTTAAAAAAACCAGGCTTATCTTAGGGATGCTTTATGTATATTGTGTAAAACTGAAATATATGAAAATCTAAACAGGTTCAAATAGGTTATGATTTATAAAATGAATTAATCATTTGAATTGTAATAGAAAAAATATTTTTACAAACAATCACATACTCACCAACAAACAACAAGCACAGTTCAATTTCTTCAACAGCACAATTTACAGATATAAGCACTGCAAGGTCTTAATTGTTTGCACACCCATCTATCTCAAATTAGGGAGTTTCCAAGGGAAGGTGAAAAATAAAAATGATAAAATGCACTCACAATAAAAAATTTACTTAAAGTTGCAGTATAGTTGTGGTCAATAAATGTAATAAATACAAAAATTAAACACCAAAGCAGGCCAATGAAAATTTTAGCAGCAAAATACTAAATGCTAATGCCAATAAAATTAAATAAATTTTTCAGGTTTTAAAACATAAAAATAAAGCAATTCTACTAAGAATCTACTAAGAAAAAAAATACATTAAAGAATTTTAAATGTTTTATTATAATATTTTTTTTTCAGTAGTGAAATTATAGGGTGAAATTATAATGCAAAAGTTGAAAAAAATTTTCAGTATGTTTTAAAATATATAAATAAGGTAATTTTACTACGAAAAACAATTACAATGACTGATTTTAAGAGTTTTTAAAAGTATTTTTCATTTAGTAGTGATAATAAGGTGAAGTTATGATGCAAAAGTTTAACAATTTTTCTGGAGTCGGAACCCAAAGTCAGGAGTCAGCAATTTTTATCTGGTGTTAGAGTCAGAATATTTTGAGGGTCAGAGTCGGAAATTTTTGAGGGACCAGAATCAGATATTTTTTTATCTGACTCTGACACTCTGGTTTTTACAACTGACTTCACAACTCATCCATATAAACTGTTCTATTTTATCAATTGAAATTGAAACAAAACAACGAGAATACAAATGATTAGAGGCATTTTTTAAAAGATGAAACCAAATAAATATTTTAAAAATATTAATATTAACTAAAAATATAAATTAAAATTGTAAACAAAATAGGCAGAAAATATTAAATGTGAAACTAAACAATAATGAGCGGTGTGAATTGTTCAAGTGATTGACAGTAAATGACAGTCAGGCAAACAACTATGCAGATAAAAAGACAGAAATACCACCAAATATTTAGACAAGATGGATAAATAATTAGACAAGCTCACCCTTCTCTTCCCTTGGTAATGACCTTGACCTCAAAATAGTAGATGCCACAAGTTACAGGGATAGAATGAGTTGTGCGAATACTTGCTGCATCTTTTACGTCTTTTCCTGTGCCTTCATAGTAAGAGCAACAAATAATTAACAGTGTATAAATGATATATGATACAATGCACAAATTGAGAACTTTTTCACAACCTCTACCAAATTTTAGTTTTTATATACACGAGTTATTGAAAAGTAGGCATGTCATCCAAAGGAATTCATGATTAACACATTTATGTCTTTATAACAATGTGCTTTTCCATATTATTGACCAAAAGTATATGAGTACTGCAAAAAGCATCTTCAGCCAAATAATATTCCCTTGTGCTGAGAAAACTTTATAATTAATCTCATCTTGAAGTTTTAGTTGCAAAACAAAAAGTACATAAAAACTGTAGTCTTATTTATAATAATTTATAACAACTAATTAAAATAAAAATGTTAAAATAAAAATAATATGTTTGCTAGATAATAATTTTTTATTTATTTTATACAGGTATAAAAAGTTGAAAATAGCAAAGTAAAAATATCAGAAAAAACTCCAAGACTCAAATTCATAGTTTTAATTAAACCAAACCCGACTCTATCTAAAAATCAAGTTAAAAATATGTCAGGGCTAGTTTTAATTGGCCTGTTCCCCTAGATCTGCCACCATATGAATCATAATAAAAAATATTTGGCAAAATCCTAGGACAGTGTCTGCAATGCAATTGAAATAACATTTAAAATGCGGGAGATAAGTATTAATGAGCGAGAGTACATGAACTACGACCAATGAGATAGCTAGAAAAGGGAACGCAAAATCGAAGTGTCAATTTAAATAGACTTTTTAAAAAAATACAGAGCCATCGAAGTGTTAATGTCATGAATATGCTGCAATATCAATATAAACTAATCGATTGTGTTTCAAATAGCATTCAATATATGGCGATATTAATTATTTATCAAAATTAAATTTCTGGACAGAAGATGGATGATATTTTGTTTGCTTTTACAATCTCAAAATTTGAATTGTTTACGTTAAATAACATCAAACAAATGTATTAATAAGGAAAATTATAAAAAAGAGAATAGAAATTAAAATTAAAAAAAAAGAATAATTAAGATATCATGGTTCCTAGCATGTTGTATTTCTCTCTAACATGTACAATGATATTTCCGAAAGTCAACTTCCCCAATTGTTCTCTCCATATAAACTCAGCTAAATGTATGCTTCAATCTTGCCCACATCGATTTGATATTTTGTGCGCACACCGGTGACTGGATCAACAAAATTTACGATGTGATTTACTGTGATGTTAGTATAATCCATGTTGTTCAACTGACTGTACGCATGCCACTCATCAGACACTTTTGCCGTTACAGGAGCAATAAATTTTTGAATGAGAAGGATTAGAGTTTGTGAGTCCCGTGCCTGTACCTCTACTGCAAAACATATTCTTGTCCCTCGCTGTATTCCTCCAAACACCCACCCCTCTTTATATCTGTTGTTTCTCCCCCTATAATATTTTGCCTTCAGAATTTCAGTTATACATATTAATATCATGTTTACATGTTATTACAAGGTAATCACTTTTATCCAAATTCGATTTAATTTCTATGATTTTAAATCTTTATTTCAATTTATATTCCGTTAATTCAAATTATAGGCTCTGAAGATGACATCTTTGTTGAAACAACGTTGTTAGCCACACTATGATTGGAAGTTTTAATAAATACAAATTAGAACAGTTATTAATAAACGCTAAATGGGCAAAATCATTTAATCAAATTTGTTATAATTTTAGTTTCATCTATTTCTACAATTGTTCCAGGTCCCCCAATTTGTGCAAAATTATCAACAGTCCACGACAGTATTTAAATTTTTTTATTTACGCCAATCTTTCCTGATGTCAAATATAAAGGCATTTCCCATGACCAACAATAAACAACTTTTATCGCTTTTGACATATCTAATTTACTATATTTAAAAAATGAATCCTTTCGAATACTTGTCCTCGTTTGACAAATTCTTTTTGGATATCACCAAATGACTTGGTCAACTTTATTAACTAAATGAATAACCTTGTACATTTCTTCCCTGTAGTTTTCGCATAACATTTCCTGATAGAACAGTCCATTACCTTAACCACAGCCTAGTTATTCTACAATTTCTAGTGTGGCCATATAGCTTGTTAAAATTTAAATGATTGAATATTACTGCCTGACTCATTTTACAATAAATCGTATTTTTCAAAAAGTGAACTATGATACACAAAAATGTTTCATTTTGGGCCAATAGAAAAAGCTATGGCATGCATAAATTATAACCACTTCTAAGTATTAAAAATTGTTTTTGCAGCATTTTCACTAGATTAATAAAAAACCATTTATTTTTTTGTATTGTCATTATTCCATTTCATTTCAATGGCCAATACGATATATTTTTTGTATTTCATTTTTATTATTTTAATAAAATCAATCAAATCAATCAATCTTCGTTTTGCATCCAGAGACCCGGTTTCCTGAGGTAGGACGTTATTATTTTAATAAAAATTATTTCATTTTATTATTTTTACTCCTTTATTAATTTAAAATATAATTGATAATATAAATAACATTATAAATTAAATATAAATAATTTAAAATAATAAAATTTTACTGTTCCATATTTTTTTAAATTTCATTCATATGTTATGACATTACGCTCACAATCTCATTGGTCGTTGTTCATGTGCACTCACTTTATAACATATCTCACCAATTTTATTGGTCATGCTTTAACGCATTTACCTTTATGACATAACCCAAACGTAAATGCACTCCTTCTTTCATCCTTCTTCTGCATTTATAATGTGTTTTTAATTGTATGTCCTGGTTATGACATTAAACTGACCCTCACTGCCTTGTGAGTGATGTTGGATCATCAAAGGCTAGGCCCACCGCTTATAACTGTGGTTGCGTAAGGAAGGGCATCCTGCGTAAAAATTAGCCAAATAAATTACTTATGATGGAATGGCGTCGAGAAGTATTTCGGTTTCATCATAGGTAGCCAAACGGCAACCTCCGATCTCGGGGAAAATGTCGTCTAAACGTGTGTTGTTGTTTGTTGTTTTAATTGCATTGCAGGCACCGTTCTAAGATTTTGCCAAATATTTAAACTAAATGTAGGAACTAAACTTGCCTAGCTTCGGCTCAGCATAATAAATCAAACATTGATTAAACAACTAAATTTTATGAACAAATATAAAATAATTTTCAAATTTATAAACTATGAAATGTAAATCTATCCATTTTTACATGAAAAACACCATTCGTCTTTGTGTTGTTTTTGTTTTTTGTGTTTTTGTTTGCAATTATCATATCAAGGAACTATGTTACATCAGACAGTTTTTATCAATCGATCTGGCTAGGAATCTAGCACGTTGTTTAATATTGTCCAGGCTCGGCTATTGTAATTCAGTAATGTTCGGCATATCTCAGAAGCAGGAAACACGTCTAATGAATCGGGCTGCCAGAGTTGTATTGATACACTACCAAATCGTCTAACATCTGCAACATCGAATTTGAAAGACCTGCATTAGCTACTTTTTCATTACCGTCTCCAGTTTAAAATCACTGTCATTGGTTTCAAGTTGTTGTCATAATAATATTGTCATCATTCACTGCCGTATCTCAATAGTCTTCTTAACATCAATATCTAAATCAATATCAATGTCTAAATATCAATAATCAACATCTTCGCTCTACCAGTGCACCAGTTCTTCTTCAAAATATTTTTTCAACAAGCATTGGTAAACGAACAATTGTCTGGAATTTTTTGCCTCCAGACATCAGAAATTGCAGCTCCTTCTGTGGTTTTAAATCTATTTTAAAAACTCATTATTTCAATCTAGCTTTTAATCAATAATAATTTTATATTTTTTACATGCTGCTTTTAATTTTTATTACATTAATTCAACAACAATTATAATTTTAATTTAATTTTTGTTTTTTTTATTATTTGTTTCTTATCATTGGACTCATATCGCCATGGTTGATTGTGAATTTCTTGGTTCCGGGGATGCCTCAGTTGCTTGAACTGGCTCTTCGCAAATTACATTTTATTTTTACCAATCTATTTTTTTCAATCAGATAATTTCTTGGTGGATTTCTACAAGACTAAAAACCAAGGCTGGTGATTGGCAATTTCTAGTCCTACTTTGTATCTTCTAAGCTCAGCCAGAAGATACAATTTAACAAAAGTTGTTAATCCTTTCTTGCATTATGACCAGCATGACATGAGCCAAGAGGAGTCTCTCTAGCTATTAGACTAGCACTATACCAGCAGCCTATCAGATTGCCAATTGTGATGTGATAGTGATGCACCACATGATTATTAATTAAAAAATTAAATTAATGAACAAAATAAAGTCCATTTTCCTGATTCTTAATTGTTGACAAAAAAAAAAAAAAACGAAAAAAAAATTCCAATAAATTTATTAACAAAAGTGGAGGAGCCAACCCTTGTAAAAGACTCTCAAATCATTATTTGACAGACCCAGAGATGGACACTTTTCGTTCTTTTTGGAGCTCCATTGTCTGGGCAGAGGAGTTTCGCACTCGTCGACCATCGGGTACAACTGCTTGATCCTGTCTGGTTGAGTTGTGCTGAAAGTGTTTTTAGTTGATTCGTCGTCCATGTTTTTATTTAAAAGTGAAAATCGCTCTTGTTTGTGTGTAGTTTGAGAAGAAAGCAAATCGGATAACAGCATACTCGCATGAGCCATTTTGTTTTATAATACTAATTACCGGATGTAGCTTCTATTTATAGATTAGCCAGCTGATCGCCAGAATTGTAAATGCCAACGAGAATGAAAATTGAAACACCTTTTTTAAAACATAGAAACTTTTATTATATTCACGTTACAAAGCATACATTTTTAAATAAAGCAACATTTATTGATTTAAAGTTATATGTCAACGTTTTTTAAAAAGTCAAATAACTCTTGTAATTACAGTTGATAGCACTGAAAATCCATGATTTTGCTAAAAACTTGTAGCATATGCTTACATACATGTATGAATATTAGAAATACGTACAAAACTATAATACCGTTACACTTGAACACGTTCATATGATTATAATACCTATACGTGACCTCGAATCGAACTCACCCTCGCATATTTTTAGCCTGGTCTATAGTTTGGTCCCACCATGGATGTCCATGAGTCTCCAGTAGTATCGAATTTTATAATTTTTACATTTTTATGGTTCATCAATAAATGATTATTCGTTTTTTTAAATTCTAATAATTTCAATTATTTTTAATTAATTTATTTCACGTATTTTCCGAATATTTATGCGTATTTAGTATCTTTTTTCTGGTGTACGTATCTGCGAACTGATTAGAGCTCGTCGTGCTTGAAAAACACCTCCTGACCCTATTACACTTGACCAATCAGTCCCGTAGTGGCGTAGTTAGACTGAGGTAATATATTGGTATTAGACCATAATTTTTACAATATTCCATAAATTCTACCGAATGTTTAGCGTTAATATGTGTGTAGTTCGTTTTTTCAATTTTTCTCACTAAAGTTTTTTGGTGAACGTTTAGTTTATTAAAATTCAAAATAAACTTATTTTCCGAATTCATGCTGCAAATAAGGCCATATTTCGATTCCGAACGAATAATCATCAGTGCTTTCTGCTGTTTATATAGGGAAATATTGACTTTGTCAAAATGAACTTAGATGGAGATTGACTTTGTCAAAATGAACATAGATAGAAATTAGGTGTCAGGTTTCTTTAATGGCTGGTCATCTTCTTTGGTCTCCTTTTCTTCATCGATAGCATCATATTCTTCTATGACATTATTTACATGCTAGTTTTTATTACTTCTTTGTTTTCGTTGTTGGTTAAGCGCCGGGTTGGAAGTGAGGTTTTCATTTTTTGTTGTATATTTATTTTTCGTTTATTGATGTCAATTAGGACTGCCTCTGCAATTTTAAGATGCGTGTAGTTGCTGTTCTGGTATATTACTTTGGTGTTACTGTCGAGGATTTCACGGCTAATAATGATTGAGTTTGTTGAGTCCAAATAAGATTTGATAGCACTACTCTGTTTATGCATCATAAGCTTTCTAGTCTAGATTACCACTACCTCAGAAGGCTTACGATGTATAAACATATATATATATATATATATATATATATATATATATGTATATATATATATTCTATAAATTCTACGGAATGTTTGGCGTTAATATGTTTGTAGTTCGTTTTTTCGATTTTTCTCACTAAAGTTTTTTGGTGAACGTTTAGTTTATTAAAATTCAAAATAAACTTATTTTCCGAATTCATGCTGCAAATAAGGCCATATTTCAATTCCGAATGAATCATCATCACTGCTTTCTGCTGTTTAGCACCACTCTGTTTATGCATCGTAAGCCTTCTAGTCAGTGAGGTAGTAGTAATCCCGATATATGAGTCATGTTGACGTGCACAGCCGTCAAAGGGGCAATTAAATTCATATATTACGTGATTACGCTTTTACTCAGAGTTATCTCTGAGTAAAAGCGTAGTTGTTTTTCAGTATTAGGTGACTCTGCAGTTGTTTTTCAGTATTAGGTGAGACGTCTTTTTATTGTTGTAATAAATTCGGAGTTTAACTTTACTATTTGGGTTGGTTGGTGTGACATTTTTATTGATGATATGCTTAAGAATAGCTTCATCTACCTTGTATGGTAAATCTAATGGTAAAACTTAGATTTACCATTGAAAGTGAAAAGGAACAACGTTTACCTTTCCTCGATGTGTTGGTCACCCGTGGCGAAGAACGATTCAAAACCGCGGTCTATGTCAAAGAAACGAATACAGGAATTTGTTTGAATGGGCAAAGTAAATGCACTGAACAATTTAAAGACAGCACAATAAAATCATTTGTGAACCGGGCATTCACACACTCTTCCGATATTGAAAATCGCGACGCTGAATTCTTTAATTCACTAACCTGCTTGTAAACAATGGATATAAGACTTATTCTATTGAAAAGATTGTTAAAAATAAATTACTACACAGCAATAACCTTCCTAGTACCAACAATCAAGATAACGACATCATCTTGTATTACAGAAATCACATGTCAACAGCATACAAGGTAGATGAAGCTATTCTTAAGCATATCATCAATAAAAATGTCACACCAACCAACCCAAATAGTACCCAAATAGACGTGCACAGCCCCTTTGACGGCTGTGCACGTCAACATGACTCATATATCGGGATTACTACTACCTCATTGACCAGAAGGCTTACGATGCATAAACAGAGTGGTGCTATCAAATCTCATTTGGGCTCAACACATTCAATCACAATTAGCCGTGAAATCCTCAGCAACTCCAAAGTAATATACCGGAACAGCAACTACACGCATCTTGTGTGTGTATGTGTGTGTATATGTATAAATTACTTTATATTTATGTTTTAAAACGTACTGAAAAACAGACCTGGGTCATTTCCGTTATCAATCCTACAAAACAGAGAGTTAGGTAGATTGAAACCATAACTTTGTATGTGTTGGTGATGATTCAAACAGAGAGAGAGAGAGAGTTAGGTAGTAGAGATGGGAATCGAACCGAACTCGAACCCTACTTGTGACCGAACCGAACCCGAACTCTGGGCACGTCTGAACCGACCCGAACCCGAACTTTCATCATGGCCGAACCGAACCCGAACTTTAAAACTGCCGATTACGAACCGAACCGAACAAACCTTTCTAATGTTATCCCAAAATCATTCGTCTGAAAATTATTGTTTTACTAATGATGGAGGTAGGTGCACGCATTATCGACGGTCCAAATATTACAAATGACCGACAGCCAATGTATGTGTGATTAAATATTAGGGATGCACTGGATTTAGGTTTTTCAAATCCGACCGGGGTCGGTCTTGGCCGGATTTAAATTTTAAAAACCGGCCGGGGCCGGATTTTAGTTACCATTTTACATACGTTAGAAAAAATACTCACATTTACGGTTATTTACATGAACATCAAAAAATAACACCAAGCAAATAGTTAATTAATTCAAATATATGAATAAGCTGTGTGATACGCCAAATTCTGTACAAAGATCAGCTTATAATTTATGCACAACCCATGTTATAGCATAAAGAAAATTGTCCAGTTCATCTCATAATTAGTGATGTTGTTATTATGTGTCATGTATGCACGTGCACAAGTTCTTTTACACAAAGATCAGCTTATAATGTATGCATAACCCACAAAGAAAATTGTCCAGCTCACCTCACAATTAGTGATGTTGTTATTATGTGTCATGTATGCCTAGCCTAACCTTTAACATACCATGTTCTTAAATTATGCGCTTATGTATATATATATATATATATATATATATATATTATGTAGCTATATGATCCGTCATATACAATTATATAGTATATACACGTGCACAAATTCTTTTACAATAAGGTCAGCTTATAATTTATGCCATGTTATAGCACAAAGAAAATTGTCCAGCTCACCTCACAATTAGTATTTTTCTTTATTGTCTTGTTTCATTGCATGAATTCGGAAGAATTATTGTAGCATTTAATTGCGTTTTTTTATAGGAAGAGCGAACTTACCAGTTAACGAACTTAGCATTGTACACTTAAAAATAATTTAGAATTATGAGTAGCAATAATAATAATAATAATAATTGTAATAGTATATCTACTAGTTTTTATTGCGACTAATTAAGTCGATCAAAATCTCATCGAACCGAACCCGAACTTGTTGAGACCTGACCGAACCGAACCCGAACTTTAGGCCTGACCGAACCGGAACTTTGGACCCGACCGAACCGAACCGAACCCGAACTTTGGGCCTGACCGAACGAACCGAACATCAAAGGTAGGGTTTGATTCCCATCTTTATTAGGTAGGATTGAAACCATAACGTTGTATGTGTTGGTATGATTCAAACACTGCCTTTTCAGAAATAACCAGCAGTGTTCCACAGGGCTCAGTATTTGGTCCTCATCATGTACACTGCGGATAGCATCTTTATGCCAATGATATTTAATTATATTGATTTGGACCAACAAAATCGTCACATCATGTAAATGCAATTGTGTCGGATTTTGGATGCTACCAAACGGGTTGAAACTCAACATTTTAGGTTCAGAGATTCACTGGCCGGCGATGCTCCAAGTTGTTTGAGAAAAAACTCTAGCTAGTATATGAAGTTGCAAACCGAAATATTCCAATAATAGAATCTTGTGATTCCAAGATTCAATACTCTTCGCGCTTTGGTAAAAGAAGATTCCCAGTATCGTCAGCACACATTTAGAATGAGATACCCTTAGAACTAAAAAGTATTCACAATTCACAATTTAACCCAAAAGGTTTTCAAGAAGCGTTTTAAAAAAATAATTATGTTTTAATTACTTACTTTCTCTCTCTCTCTCTCTCTCTCTCTCTCTCTCTCTCTCTCTCAATTTAAATCATCACCAACACATACAACGTTATGGTTTCAATTCTATTTAACTCAGTAAGGTAGGATTGAAACCATAACGGAGATGACACAGGTCTGTCTTTCAGTATGTTTTAACACATAAATATAAAGTAATTTTACTATGAAATACAATTACAAATACAAAAGAATGATTGGTTTTAAGTGGTAATAATAATGATAGTAAGTGGTAATAATAATTGATAAAAAGGTGAAATATGACGAAAAAGTTGAAAAAATTTTCTTATGTAGGAACTCGGAGTCGGAGTCAAAATTTTTCACCCGGATCCGAAAGTTTTCAGGGGTCGTGGTTGCAGTCAGATATTTTTTATCCAACTTTGACATTCTGGTTTCAGATTCAATTTTTTTTGGTTTGAAATTTGAGGCCAATGTGAGTAGGTCAAAAACAATTACGTAATAATAGGATCACACAACCATCACTTGGAGTGCGGAATTTGGATGAATTTTTTTCTACGCGTGCTTTGTCGAAACATTTGTGTCTTTCTGGTCGATGTCGATCGAAATAGGCTTACGTCATAAGAAACACCGATAGCTAGTACATCCAAATTATTGTCACAAATGAATTCATTTACAGCCAAAATTTATTTGGCAAACTGTTTATTTTAATATGCTCAAAATTTATATTATTTCGTGTAAAATTGAAATTGTTTAATGATATAGTAATTTGAATGGCAAATACAGTCTAAACAATGATTTTCTTACACGTCTTGGAGCGGTGTACAAATTATAATATTAAATCTGCACTGATCGTCGTTCAATTAACATAATTTATTTTTATTTATTTATAAATAATTTGGTTTTAGATATTTTAATTGCATAATAAAAATATTATTATTATTATTATGCAATTAAAATATCCAAAACCAAATTATTTATAAATAAAAATTTATTTAAAAATTAACTACTCATAATTAAATTTCAATTTAAAATTAGAACGTAATAGAGGTGAAATTATGACGAAAAATTATTATTATTATGCAATTAAAATATCCAAAACCAAATTATTTATAAATAAAAATTTATTTAAAAATTAACTACTCATAATTAAATTTCAATTTAAAATTAGAACGTAATAGAGGTGAAATTATGACTTAAAAGATTAAAAATTTATTAGACGCTAGAGGCGCTAGTCCCGCTACGAACGCATACAGTTTGAGAAGGAATCTTCTGACGGCGAGATATCTAGTACGTTCGAGAAGCGTCGGTAAGACGGGTATATAAACTTATAAAGACGTGCGGAATATCGAATAGTGATTGTTAGTGCCAGGGCATCGAACCGTAATTTTTTTCGTTTCGGTTTACGTTTCAAAGATAATAAAGATTAACATAGAATTTCAAAAGACGAAATAATATCTAAATATTTTTTTCCTGAATTTGACAAAAATATTTTCTTTCAAATTTTTAGCATCGAACCGTTATTTGTTTCGTTATGGTTTTCGGTTTCGGTTAAACTAACAAACAATATTTCGGTTACGATTTTTGTTCCGAGCAAAATTTTGGTTTTTAAGGGTTTTCGGCTATGGTTCAGTTCCGGTTCGATGCCCTGGTTAGTGCCGAAAGCGATATTAGACTCTGCGTTTTATCTTTATGTATTTACAATATACGTTAGTAAATTTTGATTCGGAAAGCGGATAGTTTCTGAAAGTTAATTTGATAGTTTGTGAACGTTAATATTTATCCAACATTGATCAGCTATTGATTAATTGATTAGTTACTAACATTGATAATAAATTTGTAAATAAATAAAACGAAAGTTTAAAAGTTATTTCGTGTCGCTATTTTCCATTTGGATAAAACGAACCCGTCGTCGACCGGGCAGTTATAACAATATTTTATAAAAATTGAAATGCTAAGACAATAATTATCCTTGTGGTAAGAATGCTACATTGTTATCTATAATGGTATCGAAAGGATCGAAGTGTTTCATTTTCCACGATTTCTTCACATGTACTCGCAGAGATAAGAATCAATGAAATGATGATGAGTCCCGTTGTGGCGTTTATTTCGTTCCTTTGTAGATTTCCATGACCTCTTGATTCATTGAGTGTTAGCACCGATGTGAGGATTCACGAAAATTAGCCTGTAATCAACGGTTTCGTGAGTGTAGTTCATGCCAACTGCAGAAGCAGTTTCATTGTGAGCGCGCCACTGATCGAAGTAAGTTCATGATTTATCTAACGGTTATACTCAAATTTAAAGAAAAAAACCATTATGGCGGTGTTGCCAAAAAAGAACACAAAAGGAGCCAAAGCAGCAGAAAAGTTTTTTGGTGGTCGGATAAATTTTCAACTAAATCTTTTTTCTTTATTATTTGCTGCATTAAACTTGTGATTTAAACCTTTCATGTTTCAATACAGCACATTAATTGAAATCTACCTTCAATAAATCATAAACAATCAATCTTTGTTTTGCGTCCAGAGACCCAGTTCCCCTGAGGTAGGACGTTGTTTTCTTTGCCATCAACTTTTTGCGCATAATTAAACGATCAGTTGTATCCATTTCATTTAAATTTAGAGCTTTCATGTCTTGTTTGATTGTTTGCGACCAGGACTTCTTTGGACGGCCTTTGGGACGTGTGCCAGGTACTTCAACATCTGCAAGAGAAGTTATGGCAATGTTGCCACTTCGTTTGACATGACTAAACCACCTCAGACGGTGTTGCCGGCATTCGTTCTTTATATCATCTAAACCAGCACGACGCAGGATTTCGGTAGATTTGATGTGGTCCTTTAGACTAATTCGTTGCATCCATCGGAGCATTTTCATGTCGGTTCGTTAAAGTTGTTGTTCCAGTTTGGTTGTCATTGGCCATGTTTCTGCATCATATAACAACACCGGACGTATCATAGATTTATAAAGTCTTGATCGTAGTGGTAGTGGGATGTCACGCCGCATCAATATAAAGACAAGGAGATGCCATTTATTCCAAGCTGCACGTATGCGTGCACGAACGGCAGCTTCACCTGTTCCTGTACAATCCAGAACATCCCCTAAATATTCAAAAACATTGCTATTTCGAATTTGTTGTTGTGGATAGATGCAAGCAGGACAAACAAAATTGGACACTTTATATAAAGTACCATTTATTTTTGAACAACGTTTGTGACACCACTGGTTACACAACATCTGCCAGAGAAGTTATGGCACTGTAATAAATCGAAAACAAATTCGCATTCAAAAATTTCACATTCCCAAAAAATATATTATACATATATCAATGATAGTATTCCACGAATTTTTTTTACTTCTACTCTACCATAATTCACAAAAATTAAATAATAAAATTTTGTTTTATAATATTTGTGTTAACAAGCCAGAAAATTTAAAAAATTATAGGTATAGCCAGAAGCCAAAAAATGCTGAGGAATATATTGAAACAACAAATACATATGATGTTCAACTGTCAATAAACAACTCAAAGAAAAAATTAAAAAAAAAAACGTTTACGCTAAAATTATCCAACAAACAAATAATATTTTTAACAAATCAATTATGATGCGTCGTAACAAAATATGCACATGAAACAAATAATCATAAATGTAATCATCAAAAAGTAAATCATGTTTTTCAAAGTTAAAAAAGCGATATGATTCTAACTAAATTTCTGTCCGATGAGAACTTATGTACAATTTTAAAAAACATGAAATCTAGTTTTAAAAAACTGTTAAGAAACACCTTATGTATACAAACAATATAAATTTATTAAATTCAAAATGTGTAAATGATCTCAATGAATGAAAGCAACAAATGAACAACATTCGTCACCGGCGGGCATTTGAATTTTTTAAACAAATTTTTATATCTGAGTTTTATGTTTAAAAATGAGCACAATAGATATAACGTTTTTGAATGCAATAGTTTGTAAATAAATCAATAAAATTTATAAAAAACGTGCAATTTGATAAATACAAATTTAACGAAAAAATTGTAAATTTTGTCCAACTCTTAAAAGAGACCAATGATGTGCATTCAACGGATTATAAACAAGGCCTAAAAACCTTTTAGACATTTTAAGATCTTTAAAAAATAACAAATGTGAATAATTGTGTTGAATAGGGAAAAGCTCTTTGTGGAACAAAAATATATTGAAAGAACAAAATTTTAACAGACAACAAGTTTTTTTTTATAGATTTTGAGCGATTTGTTTTAATACTAAAAAATTTTCGGCCACGATTAGTTATCAATTTTTAAATCAAAAGGCACCTTAAATTATTTTTTACCATTTCCATTACAGTCATAAAACTGCAATTAATTTATTAACTTCAATTGAAAGATGACATTTTATTTAATAAAGGCTATTGAAGGCTTAATTATATATAAATAAATTAATAAGTATATATATATATATATATATATATATATATATATATATATATATATATATATATATATATATATTGAGAATTTCCGACCTGCATATATACATATATATCGTGAATGTATGAGTTTAAAAAAAATACTTAAATACTATTATGTGAAAGCATATAAAAATGTTTAAAAATTAATTAAAAATATTTTTCAACTTGGCGAAGATTCACTCGATATAAAATTTTTAGCAATACAATTAACCTCATAATTAATATTCAAAATTTGTTCTGTTACCCAAAGATACACAAAAAGTCGAAATAAAAAAGATAAAATGATACGAAGAAAAATTCAATAGAATTACATTAATAATTTACGAAAAATGTTATATTTATAAAGCTTAAAAATAGCTTAGATATAATCTCAGTCCGAAATGTTTTGATACTTAAATTATTTAAAATTATATATAACATTTTAACAAAATAATGCATTCAGTCTCGATGAAAACACAACACACGTTATTGATCACTTAATGGTCCCAAATATTGTATAGTAACAAACATTCACGACGTTAACATCAACATTTTAAGACAGTAAAAACTAACATGTATTTTTTCAAATAATGTAGACAACAGTCGATTTGCCGGTTGCATTAAATAACGAACTGTTCAATAACAAAGTTTAATGAATTCCTATAATTTAAGGTTAAAATTTGTCTTTTAATCCGATGAGTTTTTATATTGAAACCAGATGAAGAGAGGAAGAGACCATATCAGTTGAGATGTTGAAGGCTGCCTTCTTTCGAAGTTCTCCTACAATTTATTGTGACGGTAACAAGTAACAGAAGCACCAAAATTTTGTCGGAAAATGACAAAACATATGAGATTACCTCGATAGCAGGGAGCTCATTGACAGAAACTCAAAATAGACCCCGGTGAGAAAAATTTGATAAACTTTTTGCGCAAAGATATTTTCAAAAATATTAACACAAAATGTAAGCTACAAGGCAAGAAGTAAAGTCAAACAATTTATATGATACCAGGTGATCAATGAGATATATTCTTTTATGTCTTTATATCAACAAAATTCAAAAAAGTGAATCTTCTCTTCCGCATCCAAAAAAAAGACTTAAACATTATAATTATAGTGGTTGGTAAAAAATTTAAATGAAGCTTAAGGAAATTGACATTAAAATAATAAATTTTAGCCTATGCTCTATGGTACAAAATATTAAAAATATGTCCAGTAGATAGGGCTAGAAGAAAGAAAGATAAAACAGATTACTAGCCCGGCAAGTCCATAATAATTTTATTAGCGTAATTATTCTATGATGTTAAGTAAAATGACGAATGAGCAATTAAGTGAATACTTTCAGGTCAATAAATGAAATATAAATATGTATTTGAATGTATTTAAATGTGTATATGTATGTACTTAAATATGTATGTATTTAATGTATTTATATTTAAATATAGGTAAATAAATCAATAAAAAACTACAAAACAAGCAACAATCAATATTAAGCATACATACAACATACAAAATCTAATATATATATATATATATATATATATATATATATATATATATATACATTAATTTACTAATTTCAATTGAAAGATATATATTACATATATGCATACACTTATACATCCAAATAGATATATACGTATATATGTATATATATATATATAATTAAATATATATATAATAGGGTATAGATTATTTATGAAACATTGAATGCAGTCTTATTTTAATTTCTTCAATGGTATAAAATCGTATGAGCTACTTTTAAATATGCACTACTTGTTTCACCTTCTAAACAATGAGACCCAAGTAAACGAATTAATAGCCTATAAATCAATTAATTAGCCATGTAAAATGTGCGAAACCTACAAATTAAAATTATTTATTATTATTAGATTAACCTTAAAGCGTTCTTTAGAGCTCTCAAGGCACTAACAACGTACACGTTAAATTCTCCACAATCAAACTAGTTGGCGTCATTGGAAAAGAATTTCTAAAGGTAGAATTATAACTTTCTTCGAAACTCGAAAATATATTTTATATATGAATATAACATAGCGTACATAGGTGCTTCGTATAAATTTGCTGCTACATTGATGGACTGTCAGCCTGTCGTTATTAACATATTTGACGTGTTAGAATATTTTTTTACAACAGTTGAATTCAATCTAGAAGGTCACTCAAAATTGGCTGAATTCCTATCAGGTCATCTGCTGCATAATTATTTTACCCACAATTTTATGTTAAATTAATCGCTTTTAGCTTTTACAGCTGAATAAAATTTATAAAAATAAAATTTATTTACAATCCTTATGTAGAATTAGTAAAAATTGAAAAAGGAAAATTCAAATTAAAGAAAACAACTACAAAAAATTATCAAATATTTATATCGAACAATAGGAACAAAAATATTTTGTACAAGTGCTCAAAAAACATTAAAAATATTTTTTCAATTTACAATGACAAACACAAAACAAAAAAGTTGGATGCTATAATGGAGTAATACAATTAGGTTTACAATTTTAAAAATAGAAACATTTATGGTGGTTATCGTTGCACTTGTAAGCAGATGAATGTTGAAAAGGAGACATGTCATTGCATCTTGAATTGATGTTAAATCAGCCATTTATCATTCCCTTGTTATTAAAACTTTTTCATATAATTTTATTTTTTCTTTAATAATTTTAATTAGCGTTTTTAAAACTAAATAGAAATTTGGATGTAAGATAATAATACAACGCAAGATTTTGAGTGCTCGATGTGACGAAATGATAAAACCTTTGAAATAGACACATATTTTTTAATAATTAGTTGATGATAATTCATTGAACTGATAATTTAAGTGCTTTTAAAAAAACGATCGATGATTGAAAAAATCTTCAGAGTTATTCTCTATAAGTGGCGGTGCTGACATAGGCGGAGATCTTAAATAAGAATAAAAGTTTGCGTTGATGTTGTTCGTAATGTTGCGATGACGGAGGTTGTTGCTGTTAATGATGTTGTTGCAATATGTGTTGTTGTTGCAATATATGCTGCTGTTGATGACGTTGTTGTGAGTGGTGTTATTGTCGTTAATAATAAGGTTGTCATGGTTAATGGAAAAATAATTCGTGCTATTGATTGAGTCACTGCTCGCTCCAAGGAAGTTCAGGTTGTTGTTATTGTTGGGGTTTAGTTTGAAATTACTACCAACAACACTGCTGTTGCCAAAAATATTTTGATTAGTGTACTTTCTAATGTCGCTGCTGTGCATGTTGGTAGTAGCGTTATTGACTTCACGGGTTTTATTTATATTTGGACCAATGTTACCAAAGCTGTCTGCATGGTTGTTTATATTGTTGCTAGGGCCATGTTTATCGTTGAAATGTTCATATGAATTAGAATTATGAAAATTGTATGATGTAGCTTGTGAATGATAAGAGGGAGGTGGTGCTTTAGGCCAGGAACTTTTCAGGAAATATGGCGACGGAGACGTCAGTGATGGCAATGTCAATGATGACGTCGATAGCATTGGATTATTTGGTCGTTCCAAGCCAAATAAGTTTTTACTAATTCTGTTAGAATTGATGTTGCTGATATCATTGTAACCGTTTATAGTACCAACGTCGTTGCACAAGCCAAAGTTTTCGTTGCATTGATTTTTGTCCAAAACATCATCAACTGTATTGCTAGCACCACTTGCAACTTTTAAAATAATGTTATCCACAATGTTGTTGTTGTAATTATAATTGTTACTGTTGACAGTGCAGCTGCTAGTCTTTATATGATTGTTGATGTTGTAGTTGTGATAAGGAGATTGTTCAATATAACAACCACCGCCACCGTCTGAAAAGTTGTTCACATTAGCTGGTATCCACAAAGGGTCTGGCTTCTTCCTCTTCTTCTTTTCTCGACACGTTGTGTTTTTGTTTGAGTTGATAGAATCAATATTATCAATGTGGCAAGCAGAGATGTTGGTATTGTTGTAGTTGATATTGTTCATGTCAACTTTGTTCTTTTTTGTATGAGTGTTATAAATGTTTATCGAAATGTCTTCAGCAGTCAATTCATTTTGTTGGTTGTTTGAAGGCATTTCGACATCAGAAATACAACATTTATTGATGTCGTTGTTACTGAAGCCAAATAATGAGCTTGTAGTCCTACGGTCCACATCAAGACTGGTCACAAATAAAGATTCACTTGAATAATTTGGCAACCTCTGAGTATTTAATAATGTAGGTGATGTAGTTTTATTTGACTTTGTTGACAGAGATTTTTCAAATGTTTGCAACTGGTAAGATAGTTGTTGACACGGGGATAGAAAAAACTTGTCTTCGTGTTTTTGTTCTTGAATATGTTGTCTCGGTTGTGTGTCATTATTTTTGTCATTAATGTAATCATCGATGAACGAGGAACAAAACTGATTGGTGTTTAGGTAGTTAAATTCAATGTTTTTTAACTTTTTGTCAGAATGATTGTTGCTGTTGTGAGAGTTGTCAACTGTGAACAAAGGATCGATATTATCCTCGCACATGTTAAAACTGTTGAGATCGTCCACGCTATCCATAGATAGATTAACGTCCTTGATGTTCAAATTAAAATTATTACTAGGGGTGATTGATGAATTGTGAGAATCATCGAGGAAGTCTTTCTTTTCAAACATGTTTAAGCTTTCTTTAAAATCTGATTCGATTTTTAGTTCTTCAACAACAGTTGTGCAAGTATCTTTTGAAGATGATGAAAAGTTGTGATGTTGATGCTGTTGTTGTTGTTTGAAATGTTGTTGGTATCTGAAGCTATATGGAGTAGACATATAAGGATGATAAGAAGTTTTATTGTTGTGCCTCAACGTGGGTGTCAGCGGACTTTCTTCGCCATTTTGAACGTAATATTGTTGTCGGCACGATGATCTGGCCATTCCGACAGGTGTGAATGGAGTTCTCGGACGAGACTGAACTGTCAAAAAAGGTGAGGTTGGCGGGTATTTTTTATGAAGAAACTCAGAGTTGTTGTTAAATAAAACGGTTGAAGACTCGGTGATATCATCATTAGATGTTGGAAACTGAAAATAATTGGATGAGGATGAAGAAGAATTGCATGACGCTGGTGTGTAGCTTGTGTTGCTAAAGCTGTTGTTGATAACATTGTTGGTAATATTGACATTGATAATGTTGTTAACGTTGTTGTTAATGTTGTTGTTAATATTGTTGTTAATGTTATAGTTAATGTTGTCGTTAACGTTGTTACTGTTGATGTTATTGTTAATGTTGTTGTTGATGTTGCTGTTGATGAGTTTTTGGTCAATGCTGCTGATGTTGTTAATGCTGCTACTTCTCGCAACATTATTGAGGTTAGTGTTTTCATTTATATTTTCATAATATGTGCTTAAAACAACGTTGCTTTCATTGCAGTTGTAGAAATCATGATGACTGGTGCTGAAGTAATTGCTACTAATGTTATTACTCACAGTCTTGCTATTAGAAACGTTCATGCTGGAGCTGTTGAAAATAATGTTTCTGTTATTAATGTTGCTATTACTTATGTTGTTACTAAAGTCGTTGTTGTTATTGATGTTGGTCTTATTGGTACTAATGATGTTGTTACTGAAGCCTGGAAATGCATCATTTTGCAAAAATATTTCAGATTTTTCGTTCGAATTTTTAGCGTCAAAATTTACTTGCTTACGTTTTGTAATAGAAATTGGCATTGTTGTTATTGTTGCGTTTGAAACGCTGACAGAAACATTGTATCCGTTGTTGTAGTTGTTCACTGCAAAAAAGGTCGTAGCTGTTTTGTGCACCTTGGTAGTTGGTTGATAACAAATGTCTTCCTTCGTTTTGCCTGGATAGAAATATCGTTAAAACATATCAATCTAACAGTTAATCAATAAAAATCAATCAATCGATCGATCGATCAATCAATCAATCAATTAATTAATAACCTCAAGTTCATTTATTTTTTGTTTTTACGACCAATAATTTTATATTTTATTACAAACTTAAAGGCAAAAACTTTGAAATTCATTTAAAATAAGATTTAAAAATGTAAAAAAAACAATGAGTGGCAAATAAATATTTTCATAAGCATTGATTTAAGAAGTTGTAGAAAATCATGTTTTATTTTATTTGTGAAACTATAGTGAAAACAATGTTTCATTTATACTAAATTTAAAGAGACATAGTTATTCATTCTCACTGTGTATAAATGCACGTGAATCAACGTATCACACACTTTTGTATGTGATAGGCGGACACTGCATCAACAATACTAAGCATCTTATTCATTAAATGATCGTGCTACCAAATATAATAAAGCACTATTTAAAAAAAGAAAAACTATTAAGCATGTGGACTATAACAAAAAAGGATCTTAAACGATAATGTAAAAACTATCAATGAAAATTATAAATTAACATTTAGGATTTATTACACGAACAACAAAACCTCATTCCTTGTTTTTAAAAATAATTGCAATACTAAACCAGAATCGATAATGAAGAGCAGTCATCTAGTATATTCTTTTGATTGTAAAATCGGTGATTGTAGGCACGAAACACAAAGTACATCGGATTCACTACTACGACTTTATCAAGAAGGTTAACAATGCATACACAAAATGGTGCAATAAAAATTCATCTAATGGATTCACACCAAATAAAAATAACAAGGGAAATATTAAACTCAAATACTAAAGTGTTATTTTACAACCATAATATAAGATAAGCAGAGTCTTTATTAATAGAAAATAGAAACCCTGTATTAAATATCCAAAACAGGCTGTAACGATTATATCAACAAAGAAATTACCCACACAAAAAAGCAATGGAACTTAGAGTTCCTTTGTTAACAAATACTATAAATACCAGATGAACTGCATATAACAATATCACAAACTCTATTACACTGATGATGGTGAAGGTTACCAAGAAAAGCTTTTATGTAAATGTATATATGAAAAATGTAGTCTAAAATAATTATAAATTTTATTATTAATATGAATAAATTAAATAATATCGATAAAACAAATGTTCTAAAAATTGAAAATTTTAGTTACAAACTCAACAATGCGGTGATATTTCTTAATAATCGTATATACGACAGTCTGAACCCAACTATATATATATATATATATGCGTAAATATATTTACATATATTTGCATATATTGATTAAAATCACATCATGTTCGGCGTCAGGGGCGTCATTTCAGATTTTGGTTGGAGGGGGGCGAACTTATGTGGTCTATGACTTAGCATGTAATATATATATATATATATATATATATATATATATATATATAATTATATATTATATATATATATATATATAATTAATAAAGATCACGGCGTTTCTTACAGTACTCAATCTATACTATATGATAGTTTCTTGATTCTTCGAATAATTCTCCGATCTACCAAGCTTAACTTGTTAATGCTATTAACAAAATTCCTATTTACAAAAGATGTCATTATCTACATGTATGCATATAGTACTACTTCGACTACCTAGTCTCGTCAGTGCAACATTATAATAAATTTTACATTTTTAAAGTTTTTAAAATTTCAAAATTTTTAGTTTTAAAACTACTAAATTATATATCCTATATATATATCCTTTTTACAAAGAATTTAAGATTAAAATTATAAATGTGTTAATTATAAATTATAAAAGTGTTAATTTTAAGTTATAAAAGTGTTATAATTTTTTATATCATTGATAATTATTAATTCAATTTAATCTTATTAATTTAATTTAATCATTTATTATTGATTAGTAGACAGTAGTTTGATCAAATTTATTAACGAAACTGAAACAATTTGTACTCAAACTCATCTTCACTCTTTATCTTAAAAAATGATATAAATTGACTTCCAGCTAAATCAAAATAACATTAATAACAGAGAACGCGACAGTTAATATGGCGAAAACACAACGGTTTTTTTTAAAACAGAACATGAATTATTGTAGGAACAAATGATATAAATTGTATAGCGCTTGACATTTAAAAATTCAAAAAGCACAATATCTTGTATATATAATTATAATAAATTATATAATTTTATATAATTATTTTATAGTGTTTGCAATTTTGTCATAATAATTTCGTACGGCAAAAATTTAGAATTTTGATTTCTTGGGGGGGCAATCGCCCCCCTGCCACCCCCAAATGACGTTAGTTAATTTCAAATTTAACTTATCGATTTTTTCGGTATTCCTATACAAAGTTAGGTGTTCAAATTTATATTTTGTGTATGTGCCCAGATGCTCAAATACATATATTTTTTACAATATTCTATAAATTTTACCGAATGTTTGACATTTTTGACAAAACATTATTAATAACGTGATTACTACAGAAAAGCTCTTTTCTAATAAAGTTACAATCAAAGTCGCTGTGGAAACAAAGACACAAAGACGAAACAATACTATATAACTACACTGATGATGGCAGTTGATGCCGAAAAGAGCTTTTCTGTAGTAATAACGTTATTAATAATGTTTTGTCAAAAATGTCAAATATTAAAAGTTTTTTTATTTAACCTTAATAAACTTCATCAAGATGATAAAATTCTCATTTGAAAAATTGAGAAACTCAACTACAAGTTGAATAATGCAGAAAACGCAGTGATATATATATATATATATATATATATATATATATATATATATATATATATAGTTACTTATCTAATTAAATCACTTTTATTCAGTCAAACAAAACAAAAAAGCATGAATGATTTGGAGACCAAAAAAAAATTAATTCTTGTGGGCTTGGCCACCGTGCAACTCAAAATGGCTTCTCAATAACACAACAAGAATAAATTAAAATAAGGATCAAATAAAATTGTCAATAGGAAAAAAATGTATCAATGTTAATGAAATATATGCATACATATATACACACACATATATACATATATGTATACACACACACACACACACACACAAACACACACACACACACATACATATATATATATAAATTTGGTACGAGGTTTTCATATATCATTTGGTACGAGGTTTCCGAGAGACATGTTCGATTAAAAATTTTCACACAAAAGTGCTTATATATGTAAATTATATTTCATATAATTATCTATCTATTTCTATTCTGTGCTTGTAAATTAGGTTTCATTACTTTGGTATCATCTTATATATAAATGCAAATAGCACGTGGTCATATTTTATTATTGCACGTGGTAATATTTTATTATTGTTGGCTTTGTAAACGATCCTGGAATTTAATTTTTCTATTTTAGGTTGGTTATTCATTTATAATTTCTGTAATATTTCATATTGTTTCAATTGATTTTATTTATGTTCTTTATTCACTCATTTGGATTTTCTATTTTAGATTAATAAATCAGGTTATTGGAAAGCAAACTTATATATATATATATATATATATATATATATATATATATATATATATATATATATATATATATATATATATATATATATATATATATATATATATATATATATATAT